CTGCAGATGTTCCCTGGCGGGGGCTTGTTCAAAGGAGGAAGGCGGGGGCCCCAGCGCAGAGCGGGCAGAGATTGCGAGGCAGGGCTGGGGCTGCGGCGGGCGGGGAAGGGTTAGGGCAGCGGGGCCGGCGCGGGCTCTCCAGGAAGCGCCTCCAGCGCGGCCGCGACTTTCTCTGCTTTTTGAAAAGAGGAAGGGAAGGCAAGCAACTCCGAAAGCAAAAATAGCCTCGCCCGTCGCCGAATCTACCAAACCTGCTGTCTGCGACCCCCTATCCCATGGGTCGCTGTGCGCCTCCAGCCGCTGCTCCTCTTTAAAAGCGAGGCGGGAAATCCACCCCAACCCCCATCTCTCTCTCTCTCTCTTTTTTTCCCCCGTCTGGAATTTCCAACCCAGGACGAACTCGTCTGATTTCTCCAGTCTCCCCTGCTGTTTTTTTCCTCCCCTTTTCTCTCCCTAACACTCCCATCCCAAAATGTAAGCTGCACTTTCTGGAAGGCATTAGCCATATTTTAAGAATCTTTTAAGAGAATGGGGAGCGAACAAGACTGAATTTAAATTATAACAGCTGGCAAAATGTCTGTGTTCTTCAAATGTCTTCGGTTGATACATTTATCCTAATGACAAGATCACCACCACGACCACCCCCCACACACAAAAATCAACACAGGTACAACCAGTACATAGCTCTTCAACGCAAAAATCCCTAAACTTCAACAAACAGCACTTGCTGGTCTCCCTCTTCCCACTCAACTAAACCAGATCCGAATTTTTTTTTTTAATGTTTTATATATTTTTTGTTGTTTGTTTTTCTGTTTTTTGGTTTTTTGTGGGTTTTTTTGGTGTGTTTTTAATGTTTTAAAATCATATACCCACTACCCTATCTCAATGGTACCTCTGTCAAGTGGCTGTTACACATTAAAGTATAGAGTAAATAAACTCAAAAATTTAAGCCTTAAACTACCCAAACACATAAAACAGATTCAAATGACATATATTAAGGTAATTTTAAAAGATTAGAAGCACAGAACCTTTGAATCAAGATTCTTCCAATGGCTAATGTCATGTATTTCATCTCTAAAACATAATTATAAGAAAGAATGTTTTGCTCTTTTTCCACCAAAAGCTGCACCGTTAAAACTTTACATTTGGAACAGTTAACTACACTTTGAATAAATTAGTGATGGGAATTACAATTCTTCCCCTTCTTTACTCAAAAGTTCTCCATCTGGGAAACCCATGGAGTAAAAATTCATCTTTCTCCTTTGGGTCAGAAAATAAAGGTTTCTGGACACCTTCAACTCTTCCAAAGGATAGTCAAATACCAGTGTCCTTAGGAAAGTCATTCTGAAATACTGAGCACTAAATGATAACAAGTTAAGGATTTCTCTAGCAGTGAAGAAAATTTATGAATTTGTAAAGTTTACTTTCTAGATAGAAATTAAAGTGGGGAGAGTGAATTCATTTGCACCTTTCCTCTAAACAGTAGAAAAATGTAAGAATCGACCATTTTTTAAACTTATTTAAAGCCCAAAAAACTAACCTAATAGGAATAAGAAAACCTTTTTGAATACAGGTCAGATATATCTTTTACCTACAACCAGTAAAACAAAAGTGCCTGAAAATCCTCCCCCTCTAGTACTATTTACTCCTTTGTTTTTTTTTTTAAAGACATTCCTTTGTTTCTTAACTCCCCCTTATAATTCATTTTCAACCCCTAAGAATAGTTTTCATTAAAGGCAAACCCATTTTTGAAGGCAAAATTTTCTTGCTTGTTTTGAAGACATTCAGTGATCCAATTATTTCTTCAGAGCCTCCGCAAATCACTTAAAATTAAAAATATTATTTTTGCCATTTACAAGACATCCCTTCAGAGATTTTTAAAGCTGCTAACTTTAGAAAATTAAACTGTAAAATCAGAATAAAGTTTGCACACTTTCTCTTCTGAGAGTTCTCACACATATGGCTATGAGACCAATTGTTTTTTTAATAGCTGGAACTATAAGGCAAAGGGCTGGCCCCACCTCATTTTAAGTCAACTTAGGGAAAAGAACCACCATTAACCTGCCCAAGGAAATCAGTCTTTAACATGAATACATTTCACCAAGAGAAATGAAGTACACATCTCTTCCATGTTTTTCTTAACAGCAACACTTTTTATTTTGATGACACCAGTTGACAGCAGGTATGCTATCTTTAGGTCACATTCCTCTAGAAAAAGGCATACACAGTGGCAAATGAAACAAAAGTTTAATTCCCTTAAAAGCAAGTCATTTCCCAAAATAAACAAGTCTCACTAAGATGGTATCCCTTTATCTTAACTAGTCTTAAGTCTCTCAAAATAAAATACACATACAAACCCTTTCCACAACTATCTTAAAAATGCTTTTGGTTTTTCTCCTTTGTCCTAGTATTTGACAGTTAATATATACAAATTCTTAACAAAAAGCTGAATTGTTGACCAAAATTCCAACACTGACTAAGAGGGGGTTTAGGAAGATCTCAGAGAAATTTAATGTCACCCATTTAAGAAATTCAAATTGACATGTTTTCAGTTTAAATGTATAGTGTTCAGTCTCTTGGATTCTTAAAAAGGTACAAATTATATTTATCAAATAGATACAAAGTTAGAACAAAATATATTAATACTTCAAAATCAGAGGTGCTCAGAGGTTAACTGCAGTAATATTGTTTGATTCTCCCCTCTAAAAAGCAAGAAAAAAAAAAAACAGGAACATTCAAGTTTTTAAGAATCTCTTAGAAATGTTTACAGTCATAATTCATTTGGAACTGAGTGCATCAAGAAGAGTTCTCTATTTTAAACAGTGAAAACACGAGAGTATATATACATAAAATATATATGCACAGTTGTCCGTTTTGCTTAATATATTAGTCATAGTCAATTAAATAGTTCCTGTTCTATACATGAGATTGAAAAAGCCAGTATACAAACCAAATGAAGACTTTTCAGACAGACTAAAAACACATACCACAACACACTTCCTCAAAGAACACAAAATGATAGAGCAAACTGACTTCACGAAAACAAACTTTCTTTTTTTAAATCCCAAAACTTCAAAAATGGATTCATTCTAGAAAAATGAAGTGCCTTCTCACCACCACCCCCAAAAAGTAAAACACAACTGACTCAGTGTTTGTGCTCAAATTATTTCAGGAAGGGGGAGGACACACAAAAGATCGAATTTAATATAATATGGGTGTGGAAAGGAAGATTTTGTACCCACTCTTCTCACAAACCCCACCCTTTCCCAACTCCAAAGAGCCCTCAGTAATGCATTTTGGAGGGAACAAGGAGCCTAAAAATGGTTTGAAATCAAGCAGCTAGCTTAGGGGAAAAGATCCATAAATACAGAGCACCATGAAAATTAAAATATAAATGTTTTGGGTTCCATTTCCTAAGTTTGCTATTTCTCCTGCTTTTCACTTCATTCCCTTTAAAATTTAAACCATTCTGAAGAGCAAAAGGAAAACTTCCACACATCTGGAACTGGAATTCCAGAATTCCAGTTATTCTGGATATTTCTCATCAACATGTTTCAAAAATTCAGCTTTCAGTTCAAATATGCACAATCTTTTCAATAACTCTACTGGTGTCAGTGTATGTTTCTCTCATTCCCATCTCCAGGAAATGTTTCAGAATAATAAATAAGACTTTTTTTCTTCCTTCCGATTTTATTGCCTCTTTCCTCCTAACTCTACTTGCCTTTCCAATAACAAAGTATTTCAAGCACTTGAGGTTAAATCACAAGCTCTATAAACATAGTTACAAGCCATATTGATCATCTATAGATACAATAGTTCCAAGTTACTTCAATATCTCAAGCTAAACCACTGAACAGATTTTTATGTCACAGTAAACTTTCTAGACCCTTAGCCACCTCCAAAAATGCATAGCCACCCACCTCCACCTTCCCACCCTGAAAAGGTCAGGTCCTATTCTGAAATTCAGCAAGTTTCCAGTTGAAATGAGAGGAGGGGGGAGTGAGAGGATCAAAGATTTACTGGGGTTTGCAACATGAGAGAAAACTCTGCACTGTCAACATGTTTAAAGTCAGATTTGAGAAAGCAGAAAGACTCGGCCCTTATACTTCCCAGCCAGAGTTCAATGAAAGATTTGAAATCCACCATGAATTGGATTTGGGGATAACATGATAGAGGTACCCCAGTTTGCTGAAGTGAGGATAGAAAGGTATTGGAACACACTCTTTCTCTGTCTCTGTCTGTCTGTCTCTCTCACACACACACCCATTCATGCAGGGAGTTCTAGACCCTCCAAAGAGCCCCAGCTCACAGCCTGAACACAAAGCTCTCACCCCAGATGGTCCCCCTGTAACAATGGACTGAAGGAGTGGGGGGGGGGCTCAGAAAGGATAGTACAGCCAAAGCATATTTGCAAAATCCAGTTGGGAGGGGAGGATGTGCATGTGAGGGACTAGGGGTAGGGGTCTGTAAAAAAATAATGTCCATGCCTGTTGCAGAAATATAAATAAAGCACAAGTGTAAGAAAATTCTTTTAGGGGCAGGAACTCATTCCACTTCCCCTGGGGAGTGAAAGGAGACCCCCACCAATCCACTTAAGAATTATGGTGAGTGAAGGGTGGGAAAAAATAGAGAAAATGAGGCCTGCTAGGAAGTTGCAGAAATGTCCATGAGTCTGAGCTCTTCAAATCTTTTTAGCTTCCCCACAAAAATGGCCCCACACCCCTTGACCAAACTCCTCAAGGTTTCTCCCCTATTTTTTCCCTTTTATTTCTCCAAATAACATCTCTTAGCCCACCCTAGCCCCAGCTTACGTTTTTTACAAGCTGTAAACCACTCATTACAAGATCTTAGCCAATCTTCCCTCCCTGCCCCCAACATCCGGAGTTGGGGGTGGGAAGGCCAGTAATGGGTTTCTTCCACTGGAGACACTATGGACCCCTGAACACAGCTTCTCGGCTCCCCCAGGCTGCCCCCCTTCCCAGAAAAGAGCTCTTTCCTACCTTTGTTTTTTGGGGACCGAGTGTTCAATCTCTAGGCGTTTTCCTTGGAGTTCCACTTTCCCTAAGGATTAAAAAAAGGAGAGACAATATGAGAGCTTGAACAGGGCTGGGGGGCGGGAAAAGGAAAGAGAAAGACATTAGGGTAATTCAGGAGTTACTTGGATTTGTAGGAATCAGGCAGTGAGTTTCGCAGCCGGGTGGGAAAAGGTCGCTCTGGTAATGGTGGAATCTATATATAAATTCATTGTGTTTTCTTAATTTTTGTTTTGTTCTATTATCTCATCGAGGCTGGCTGAGTAGTGGGTCGTTCTGGGAGCCCGATCTGGGAGAGGTGCGCGGGCGTCTGTGTGCGCGGGCTGCCTATCCGGCTCCCAGATGTGGGAAGACGGGGCCGAGAGAGAAAGGGCTCTCGTTTCTCCCAAAGTGTGTTGCAGGGGGGAGGGGGGTGCAGAATGAAACTTTATTTTTCGGTCCAGCCAGGGAGAAGGGCTTTGGGCGGCGGGGCGGTCACCTGTCGGGACTGGTCGGGAGCAGAGGCCCTGGGGGAGCGAAGTGGGGCCCCGCAGGGAGGGTCCCCGGCGGTGGCGGCGGCGCGCGCCTCTCGGCCCAGCCTCGGCGTCTCGGGAAGCAGCATGGCGACCCGGCGCCGCCGCGCCACCCCGCTCACGCCCCACTTTCAAATCAAAATGGCTCAAGCCCCAGGCCCTGGGCGGGAGGCGGGACCCCTTTCCCCGCGGGTCCTGCTTGAAGGCTGCAGTCCCCACGCAAAGCCGGGAGATCGGAAACTGAGCGGGGACCCCTGCCCCGCCTGGAAAGGCCTAAGGCGGAGGAAGGGGAGCTGGGGGTGTTTACGCCGGGGGCGGGGGGGGGCCTCCAGCCGCGGATAGGGAGGGGCTGACGTGGAAATAACGCCCTGACGGGGTCGCCTTGGTGGCGACCCCCCCACTGCCAGTGGGGGCTCCCGCCCCGTCGGTGGGGGCTAAGGGGGCCACCTTACTAAAGGCTCCAGCTGCTCGTCTCGGGTTGGGAGGAAGGGGTGAGGAAATCTCGAATATTTCCGCGCGAGAGGGGAGTGGGGGGTGGAGGGGGCGTCGAAGGAGCTGGGTGGAGGGTGGGTACCGAGGCCGAGCCCCGCAGGCCGCGGGGAGAGAGGAGGTGGCGGGCACGGAAAGAGGCGGCGCAGGTCTCCGTTGTTCAGGGATTTCGTTGTGGTTTTCTCCGGGAGGTGGGTGTGCCCTTACCCGAGAAAGTTTCGATGGCCTTCATCGCCCAGTGCTCGTCGGGGCAGTCCACGAAGGCATAGCCGGATTTGACCAAGAACTGGCCGCTGTAGGAGATCTTATGCTCCGCAAACACTTTCTCCAAGTCCGCGGGGGTCACGCTCTCGTTGAGGTTGCCGATGTAAAGCTTGTTCATGTTGGCGGGCTCTGGGCAGGACGCGGTCCCTGGCAAGGCCGAGCGAGCGGGTGCGGGCGGCGAGCCTCCTAGGCCGAGAGGCGGGAGGCCGGCGGCAGCAGCCGCAAACTTTCTTTGCACCCCACCCCTGAAGTTGTCCGGAGCCCGGCGGGGAGGGCGGCCCGAGGGTGCGCAGAGGTCGCGGGAGAGTTCGGCGAGGCCCGGGAGAAGTGCCCGCGGCGCGCTGGGAGGCGGACGACGCGGCGCTGCTCCTTCTCTTCTGTCCGAAACTCCTCCGAGCGGGCTGGTGTGTCACGTTTCTCCGTGGCCGCCCTGGCGCCGCCTCTAAATAAAATCGACTTGAAAAAAAATGGAGCGGAAAAAAAAAAAAAAAGGCGAAGCCACGTGGTGAAAGCCCCCACCCACCCTGCAGGGGAAGACCCCCGACGCCTCAGGGCCCATCGACCCTCCAGCCAGGCCCAGCCCACCAATCTCCCGCCTAGGGGGGGCACTCGCCCCCGGATAAACTGGGCGGGGTGGGGAGGGGGGGCTGCGTTCCCGAAGCTTTACTTGCCCCCTCCCCTTTTGCAAGAATATGGTCCCTAGGGAGGCGCCCCCCCCATCCCCCTGCCCCGGCCCTAGCTGGGGGAGGGTTGTCGGGCCCAGAATCTCCCACCTCTTTATGGGTAAAATGTACGGTGATTTTTTTATTCCTGTGCTCCGGGGGTGGGGGAGTTTGCCCACCCTACCCCGATTAAGTGCTAGCGACTGACAGGCGGGGGACGGCCGAGAGAGACAAAGAGAAGCCGAGGACTCTGGGGTCTTCAGGAGGGGGTCCCGCGAGCCGGTGATTTAAAAAGAAAGGCGGTTTTTCCCTAGATTTTTAAGTGGGGGGTCTGGGCCTTCCCGGCCCCAGCCCTAGGAGACTCCCTCGCCTCCGGGAATCCAGGACCGAGGGGCCCTGCGAGCGCGGGACCGGGAAGCTGGGGACACGGGGGGTCGCGATTGGGAACGAGGAATCCACAGGAAATCATGTTTCGGGATTCCCACAGGAGAAAGGGTGGCTCACAGCCGGGGTTCGGCTGTTGAACGACAACGTCTCGGGGTCCTGGGGGAACGCACGGCTCCGGCCCAAGATGACCCCGGGAGAGAGGGCGGGGTGGAGAGAAGGAGAGGAGGGGTAGCGCGAGCAGACCCGGGCGAACCGAAGGGGGAGGTCTCGGGGAGGGAGTGACCGGGTGGAGATCCGCACGGTCCCTTCTCCCTCCCGGACGCGGGGGCAGACAGGTGGAGTCCCCTCCGCCCGCTCCAATCCGGACAGCGACAGCCGCTTTCCCAGCACTGGGTTCGGGTCCGGGAACTTTGTTTGGGGTGCAGGATTTGGATCCCGGCGGGAAGGCGGGAGAGGGGCAGCGGGCAGGGGGCTGAGCGCGAGGCCCCGCCCACGTCCCCAGGTCAGACCCGCGGAGGGAGGGGGTAATTTCCGCTCGGCGCTCGGGGAAGCGAGGGGCGGGAGCTTGGAGGAGGGGGCGGCGGCCCCTCCCCCCTCCCCGTTGCTGGGGAGGGGGAAGCGGATCCGCCCTGGTCCCTTCCCTCGCCTTTGACCAACTCGTTCCGGATCCTCCGGCCCCCGGAGCCCGAGGGACGGACCCGACTGGGCAAGGGGCGACACGTGGGCGGTCGCACCCCCGTGTCTGCGGTGGGGGAGGGGGCAGTTGGCGGCGCGTTTCGGAGTCCCGGATACACGGCGGAGAGCGGGACGCGCGGTCCACGCGCAACCGGGACCCCGGCCCGAGTGGCGAGCGAGGGCAACGAGTTTCTAGCGGCGGGGGCTGGGACGGCACCAAGGGGTGGCGGAGAGCGCGGCCCGGGGCCCCTGGAGCCCCCTTGGCCAGGGAACCGGGGAAAGAGGGAGGTGGACCTCCAGTAATGCCAGAGTCTCCCTGAACTGGGCGGAAGCTCGGGGTTTGCTCCGGGTTCTGCAGGAGGGAGAAATCATTCGGTCGGGGACACGCGTGCTGCGAGGGCAGGTGAGGAAGGGGGTCACTCTCCCTTTCCCGGTCCCCGACCCCATTGTCTCAGTCGCCTGCGGCCCGGGCCGACTCCGCAACACGTGTTGGCTGCACCGATATGAATGCCTTGGGTTTTTTTCTTGTTATTATTTTGTGTGCAGAGTCAGTGAGCTGACTCCGACTTGGGCGCACCACTCTTCTGCCAGACGATTTCATTCCGTTCAAAAAGTCGGGAGTTAAAAGACAGCACGCCGCACCTTTGTCCCCCTCCCGGTTGTCCCCGCGCGCTGAAAAGAAACGGGGCTTGAGCGTGGGGGCGGGGGAAGGCTTCCAACTCGGTTTCTCCATCTCCACCACCTTCAAAACCCACCCTCCAAATCCGCGTTTTGTTCTAGCCAGCCACGTGTTTGTCGGATTTTTGTTTTTGTGATTTTTTTCTTTCCATAGGGCGACAGAAATTAAAATACTATAAGCTATTAGTTGCTGAGTAGAAAAAGAATGTTGGGGTGGGCGACATCTGTACCCCAGCCCCCACACCTCCTCCCACCCTCCCACTGTTTCTGACTGTTAATATTTAGTCAACTCTTGACCATAAACAATTTTAAAACAAACCAACGAGCTGGAAACGGTGCCCACCACATAGTAGGCATTCAATAAACATTTTTTAAATGAAAAACAAGCTAATACAAACTGCAGAGCAAAGAAAATGCACAGGAAAATTAAGAGTTCAGAAGAAAAAAAAATTATCTTGGCCAGAATGTGTAGGTCTGTTTCCCGGGGACTTTTCTTGGTGATGTGTGTGGACTTTTGAAAGGGCTAAAAGATGGTCTCAGAAAGGCTGTTGTGTTCTTTGGCCTTTTCCTAAAGAGGAGCCCCAATCTCCTTAAATCTCGTCTGTTCGATTGGGGGACAAAGAAGTGGGTACTAGGCAGGACTTTTCAGTTCCCAGAAACTTTAAGAGCTGTTTCCTTCATTTAGTTTAAATCTTTAGGAGTTAATAGAAGCACCTCTCAGCTTTTCTGCCTGGGGAACATATCCACTACTCTATCTCTTTATTCCTAAAACAAAAGCAAGTTACACCCCACAAAAACCTCAACACAGACCTCTAAATGCCTGTAAAGTGCAGCCCACCTTTTCTTATCCTAGATTCAAAGGGAAACAAAAAATTTAAAAATAATAATTGAATTCAGTTCGCTTTTAGGTTGATTTTTTTCCACTTAAAAAATATAGTAGAAGTCTAGATATTAGCTGAAATGAGTCAGTTTAAATGTTTTTAAATGACAGTAGAGGAGAAAATATAAATGTATTAAATTAAAAATTTACCAACTATTGCTAAATTGTAACTGATTTGTTCTTTTTAAAAATCAGCTGTTTCACTGAATTCTAATCCACACACACACACACACACACACCCCACCAAGGGCTTCTGTGTGTAGTCAGAGGCTGCAAGAACACAAGAGATTGGAGACAGCTGGGGTGAGATGCAGACTCTTTTAGCCCCCAAATCAGTTTTGCCTCAGTGACCTGGCTATTTTAGGCTGGGGTTGGGGGGACTGAATCCTGTTGACTGGTGCTTCATCTCTCCCCTCTGAGTGAGCTCAGCACTAAAATTAACCTGAGAGAAGGGTTCTTTCTTGTCAAGACTCACATTCCTAGGTGAGGGACAAGCATGGGCCAAGTTGGGATGCCATAATTTATCATCATTCTTTTCTTTTTTTTTTTTTATATTAAAGACTACTAATAAACATGGTATTTGTTTTCAGGTTTTTTTCCACACAGCTTTTCGGGGAAAGATTAATCTTCAATGCAGAATTATATTTAGTTGTGAGAGTTAAAAATATAGCTGCAGGATAAATTATTTTCTTTAATAATTTATTTAATAATAATAATTTTATTATTGTTGATGTTGTTATACTTCTTGGTCTCCTCTTCCTCCTTCTTCATTTTTCCTGAAGAAGTATTTGGTCTAGTTCTAGAATTCAGTTCTCTGAATTCAGAAACACTGAAACTTGACTCCATTTTAAAGATGAGATTCAGATCCATTTTCCTTCAATGTGAACCTGCAAATACATGCAGAGAGGAAAAAAAAAATTAAGAGAATAAAACAACATTTTAAAAAGTTGGAAATATAAAGTGAAAAAATCAACAATTCCACCATTGTCATATAAAATTAATTTTATTTTTAAATATTTCTTCCAATATTTGTCCATTTGGAATAGTTTTATATTTTGTCACCTTATTTTTATATCTTAATTTTTCACTTGTGTTGTACCGTAAGCATTTTCCCATGCTGCCTCAAAGTTTTCATAATTATCATTTTTAGCCAACACGTACCATTTAGTCCAGTAGATGTAAGTTAATCATTAATCATTATTTTTAGATATGTAAGTTACATCAAATTTTTTTACTTTTGTAAGTGGTGCTGAATAGATGTTTCTGGGGCATGTAACTTTTTCCTCTTTTAGATTAGCTCATTTGGATAAATCCCCAGAATATATATTGCATTTTAAATTTAACATTTATCAATGACTTTCTATTTTAAAAGTTTAGCATGTTTTACAAAAGAGAAGTCACAAAAAAATGGAAAGCAGGAGAGAAAGGCATTAAAATAGAATTTGTCCCTTTTTTATTTTCTAATGAACCATAATCAATTTTGAAATAAAATTATGGTTTCTGTAAAATAGAGAAAAAGAAAAATTCACATTTCATGACAAATGGCTGCTTTGATTTCAAAGTTTTTGGAGGAATTTGTTTTTTGTTTGCTTTGTTTTGATTTGTTTTGTTGCTGTTGTTTGCTTGTTTTTTCATTGTTATTGCCTGGGGATATTTTGTTTCTTCCTGCAACTTGAAGTCTTAGTGTGGTTCTTCTAAATGCCCATAAACTTTGAAAAAGTGTAAATGAGTCCCAATTTAAAAGCACATGCAGCATTTTCTCCTGTCAAATAAATAAGGATAATTAATTATGTGTTTGAGATAACTCATAAAATGTAAAAGAATGGTAAGCAGAAAAGAAAAATTTTCCTCCTTCAAATTCTTCTTTAAAAGTCTTCAATGTTTAAAACATTAAAAAGAAATGTGTTTATTTCAGAGATAGAAGAGACTCAAGGAGAAAAAAGCAACTTTAAGAACAATCATTTGTTTTTCTAGGGGTCAAACAGTGTGTGTGTGATGAAACTACTGAACTTTTTGTTTTGGCTCAGGTTTACAATGCAGAAACTTTTAGATAAGGAAGGGAATCGTTTATTTTATTAACTTTGAAAAAATGGATGTTTCCAACTTCAATGTGTTAGTAAATTAAACTACACCACACTAGCCTCTATTGACACAT